TAAATACGTTAACTAATTGCAACTTAATGTTTGGCCCTTCATATTTCTTGCACATTGTTTAAAGCAAAAGCAATTTATATTGTTTATAAATAATTTCTTAAGTGCACTATATAATTGTTAATAATTACGGGTACTAGAAAGTGAACTTTAATAAGCATGTTGACGCGTACTTTATTGTTATTGTTATTGTCGGTTTCAATAAGTTTACCTTGTCAATTTATAAATTGAAAGCCGTGATAGCTCAATGTCCGGGCGCTTGAGTTTAATTCAATTTACTTGAGCAACCTGAGTTCGATCTCCGGTGCCGACACCAATGAAATTGTTAATTTTAAGTGCTTGACTTATCTCGTGCTCAGCGGTGAAGGAAAACATCGCAGACGGGAAATCTGCATATTTTCGAAATAGTAACAAAGAAAAATAGCGTGGTGGACTATGCCATGATATCCTCTGTACATAGGAGGCCTTTCACCAGCAGTGGGAGATTTACTGGCTGTTACTTTTACTTTTATTTAATATAAATTACATTCAGTTACATAGATTTTGCTAAACTCCTTGGGCTCAGAAAGTAGTATTTCAGGTGCATAAATGACAAAATAAAAGTATCACTAACGCAATGTATCCAATTCTATGTGACCTTTTATAAATTTGACCTCAGCGGAGAAAGTGCCGCCTAATTTTTGCGATGTTTTATTTTCATGAATTTTCAGAATCCATCTTAAATTACGATATTGAGTGGAAATTACGACAAATTGCCTGCGAGAACCTTGTAACAAAATTGTTTCGAAATCGATACGATATAGTCTTGCTTTAGTATCTACTTATACCCTTATGGTTTCTTAGTGTAAGTTACAGAATAACACCTGTTATCGAATAGCCGATTTTGATAACATTGCATTGAATTCTTTATCAATGAATTATTAGGTATTAACCTTACTATGCAATAAAGTCATTACCTAATAAGTTACTTATAAGTTTCTTTAGGAACTTGTTATAGTTAATTGTTATATTAATTATTTTCTTTACTTTAAAAAAAATGAGAACTAAACAAAATGTTGTCTGGGGCCGTAGATCTCGAGCTGACACCGCGAAAGTGTAAGACGTCCCCCTATCCGGCATCCGTGTCTAGCGGACTTAGGAATTTTTTTTTACGCAAAAATTTAGGCAGGTGTATGAAATACTATTTCGAATATTTACTATTGATATCATAATGTTCTTTTTATAATATTTCACAAATAGATATCATTGTACACTCGCAGGACCAGGGAGTTACGAACTGGAACCTATTTCATATAAATTAAAATATCTAACGACTATCTCACCAATACTGCGTTGGGCGAAGCTTTTAAAGCCAACAGACTCAACACCAAAATACAGTAAAGACCATATTATTAGAATTATTGCCCGGGCTAAAAGTCGGAGAATGCATTTTATTCACATTCGGTGCCATATGCCGGGCCAAGTATACGGTCGTTACATTATTTCGTATGGAACACGCGTAAACAAGCCGAGTCATTGTGATCACCGACTTTTGTTGGATGTTCGAGACAGTTCCAGGGGTCGCGCTTACGGCCGGAGTCAATTGCTTCCTCAATTTGGAAGCCGCCGTCTGCTCGCGCCGGCACCATCGATTGCTTTAAAGTGATAAATCGAACAACACATCGTTTTGGACACGCTGTTCAACATTGGCCGAAAATCTGGCTGAAATCATCATTCTGGGTGAAAACTGTTGGAAGAACAAAACTTTTCCTTAACAGTAGACAGCGATGTCGGCTGTGAAAACATTAGAAAATATATTTTTGCGGTACGGTGCACTGTATTCGAATAGCCCCTTAAATATTTCCTTGTAGTGATACTTGAAATATGCGATGATTTACTTTATATCACAGACTTCAAAATACCTTTAAATATTTGTGTACAACGTTATCTAGCCGCTAGCTTCGTTACTGATAAACATATCGTACCTACAACTTTTCTTTTCAAATAAAAAATATTTTAAAATACTCATATTACTTTAAAGTGTAAGCAACTCTAAAGTTTAAAGCGAGCTATACTAGGCACTCCGCCAATCGGGTCGGCTTCCTCTCCTCATACTTTCGTTTTCGTTTACGTCCTAAAGTTTTATACTTTTTTGCATATTAATCAATTATGGAGGGATAGCTTCTGCTGCTGCTTTAATGGGCAGGCTCGTTGGGGGAAGTACCGCGTGCTCACAGGAAACCGGCGTGTCTGGAAGTAATATAATTTGGATTTCGTCTCGTGATCAAGGAGCAGTCGGTGTAATTCTTTTTTATTTATTTTTTATTTTGAACTGCCCAGCGATAATTCTCCTACGCAACAGTTTTAACTGTGTAGATTTATTTTATTTAATTCATTCAGTAAATTTTATCTTACAGCTAAATTCGCCTTATCAAAAATGATTCAATAATATGCTCGATCTGGTTTTAAGTCATTATCCCAACCATGAGGTGTTGCGGATAGCGAGAACTCAAATCAATTGGAAAATTATAGAACTAAGAAGAAATAAATATAGTTCATTTGACATTTTAGTATTATAATTAATTTTATTTTTCCGGCAGATCGGGGTTCTTTTGGTTTAATGACCCCCGATCCCTTCTATGCATTTGATTAACACGTGCAAAACTACAAATTGATCATGTGCAAACAAAAATCTTCATTCACACGCTTCTAACGTTCAATTTAACAATGCTGCTTCGAACAATGAATCATATAGCCTCGCGATAGAACGCATTCACACAATTTCGGTTCGCGGATACGCTCTATGGTCGTTCCCACATAGAATTTATAAAACAACCATCTCTCACCGTCACGCGACATAAACTTTAACTGTTTATGCTTCAGTTCCTACTGCGCCGGCATTTTTGGTGATGTTGTTTTATGTGAGTTTATAAACAAATTTCCATACTCTCGCATTTTTTCTGGTAACGTCTTAATGATTGGTATTTTTTGAGCCGGTGTGTGATAAATTTGCGATTCTAACGGTGGTAGGGCGACGCAGCGGCCAAGTCTGTTACACGAATGGGCAGGCTCGTCCGGGTAAGTACCACGACCTCACAGAAGACCGGCGTAAGGTGGAAGTATAATACTTTCGCGTATCGTCTGGTGAGTGAGGCGGCCGGAGCCCAATCTTCGAAAGGTTGTCAACGCATCTGCAACCCTCGGGTGTAGCAGATGTCCATGGGCGGTGGTATTCACTTAACATCAGGTGAACCGTCTGCTCCCTTGGCAACTTTTCACATAAAAAAGTGGTGCTTAGCTTATCAGCTAGAGCGTCTGGACTTGTAATCTGGAAGGCGCAGGCTTGACGGAAAAAAAATTCCGGTAGTTTTATCTACACATTGTTATTTCATCTTAAGTGTAAGGACTAGTACTACAATTTTAAATTTAAGTACTAGTCTAAAAATTTACCAAACAAAAACTGGTAATGAAATTTACAATTTTAGTAATAGCCTTTACACTTAATTAATTTACATGGACCATGGTATATAACAAGTTACCTGTCTCTCGGGTTTGCGACTAGTCGTCAGATTACGTAATACTAAAAACTAAAATGTGACAGTTTATTGATTACTATGGGTATCGAATGAAGTTCAATTATATTTTCCCCGTACGTTTCCTATTAAAGTTTGTCGAAGAACGCCCAAAACTAAATAAATCGATAGATAGCTTGGTGGTTTGATAACGCTATACGGCATTGTTCAAACAGAAAAACTAAATACCGCATAAATGTAACAACACACAAAAATACGTTATTTTTGTGTGTTGTTACATTTATATGTTGCGTGTGTGTGTGTTGTTATAATTATCAACGTTCGCCGAGACTGCGTGGTCAATAAATGCAACGTCCGTTTATTTCCGAAACACAATGTCAAGTGCAATAAATTTGAAACAGAAATACCCATTTAATGGTGGTCTCCACTTAAAATACTCCGAGAAGAATTGCTTTTAATTTAAATTAAAAGTATATCATGTAACCACTTATGTATGGTTATAACTGTTATTTATTGCAAAGGTCTTCTATGATCAGAAGCTGCTGTTCAGAAATGGAGATTCGCTGAGGAATGGTTTTTTCACATTCAGACTTCGATTCCATATAAACTAGATGTAGAAAAGTTACTATTATAGATAAAACCGTTTCACAACGTTCGTTACAACCCGCGGCGTTTAACAGAACAAAACTACAGAATCCATAAGTAAATTTTATTAATTGGGAACGAATAATAAATAAACCATTACATTCGTTAACTGGTCTATTATATTCCTAATACTAAAATGTGATCCTAGCATAAAACGACTATAAGCAAGATGCAGTCAATTACATAATGTTTGTTTTTAAGTTTACCCACTTATAGCATGATAAAAAGAGTCTAGTAAGGCAATTCGTATTTTTAAAATTTCCATCGCATTTTTCTATTTCTCTGAGAAACGTTTAAAAACCCATTTACACTGTCATTTGAAATGTTTGCTCTACATTATTAACGTGTTAAATAATTAAGTTCTTATCAACGGATAGTTGGGAAAACGCAGATGTTTGTGATTTAAACAAAGTCAAAGAACCATAAGTAGTGGGACGAGCACGGATACGGCCGCGAGGAATTCGGGTAGACACGCCACGGAAAAGCATTGTGTTGTTGTGGAGTTCGATCGCTTCGCTAAATAAGATATCGAGCGGACGAATCGAAACGAAACTGACTCATAACATAACATAAACCACGAACGGGCCCGTCGCCGAACTACCGCGCCAGTGGTATTCTCGTGGGCCGCTTAGTACGCCTGCACCGGCGGTCGAGCGCGGTCAAACTAGTCGTGGCGCGCGTCTATCGTTCCGCTGTATTCGCTTGAAGCACTCCACTCCAGTGCACTGATAAGCCGGCAAACTACCCTTGCACTCGCGTGGCGACGCACGTTCCTACTCGCGGCTTTGTCGCGCTATCAGTTAGAGATTTGGTTTCGAATTTAACCAGCGAACCGCCGCCTGACGGATGGTCGAGGTTTCGCTCTCCAAGTTCATGTGGGAGCGTGAGAGAGAAAGGCGTGTGATGGAGAGCTGCTACAAACTGTACACATGGATAAACCACACGGTCCTGATGCTGCTACTGCAGATATTCTGGAAAGTGAGCCAAATATCGGACTATTTCAAAGAGAAGTGAGTATTCTGCTTTGTAAAATGACATTGTTTGATGTGCACTAGTTGAAATTTCATTTGTGGAATAAGTGAAAATTTGGCCTTAGTTACATTTGGCTGTGCTATCACAACATTATCATTTTCACTTTAATATACCTTTTATATTCTTTAACGGTTAGAAGCTTTGAATATAATTATGACAAGTATATAATCAAATGTTAGAAGTTACTCAGAACATCAACTAATTGGTCGATTAAGAATTTGCCACATTTTTATCGTATTAGAAACGTATCCTTTATCAAATAATTATGATAGTGCGTAATTTTTTTTATATAAGTTTTGTGAATTTTAGTCTGGCTCAGTTAGGAAAATGTATGTTATTTATTGTTATAGATAAGATATGATAATAAAACATACGATATCTAGAATACATATTATTAATCAGGTTTTTGGTGTAAATACATATGCATGTTAAATTTAAAAAAACATTGAAATTTGAATTGATTAGGCTTTTAAATAACGGATGAGAAAAGACAATGTACGTACCTAAAATACATATTATTATCGATTCGGTGGGAAGTTTTGTTTGTGTTCTGACAAATCAATAAAGGTTGCGACATTTTGGCGCGTTGCACTTTGATGTAAACACGACCATGCTTTCGCCAAGGGCAATATAAAACCAAAATGCGCATTACAATTTCAAGACAAGACTGTGTATTGCCTCATTAACTCATTCGTTGGGACGTCGACATGTCCAATCGAAAGACGAAGCAAAATGTACTTTATTTTAACATCATAAAGCGTTGTATTTGTTGTTATCTAGTTCATACATTGATATCCTCGAGGTTTCAAGTAATCAATATTTATTACGTCGTTTAAAAATAATATAACTTTCTGCATTAAGTGAAAGTGGTATAGCAGGCGCATTATACTCAACATATAGTGAGCGACGTTATAGGTATATAAAACTGGTGTCTCGGACACATCACACACGAACTTAATAATTAATAGTCGGGATATCGTAATGTTGTATAAAAAAACTTATAAGTAAAATTTGCCAAACAATTAGAAGGGGTACCTGATGTTCGCTGACTACCGCATTGGATTACCACTACGCCCTGAGGTAGCAGCTGCCATACCAACCTTTAAAAGGGCCTCTATTAATAACTTCATCAGACGAAACAAAAGAACTAACACTACTTCTTCTGCGCGTGACCTTGACACTTGCACAGACCTTTAACATTCTCGCAACAACAAAATCTACAGCATGGTCTCGCCGTAGTAACATAGCTAGACATTTCCTGTGTTCACGCAAAATATATTGTCCTATTTATAATAATCAATATATTAATCCAGACGTGATAGATTAGTGTTCGCATGCCGGCACCAAAGAAATTGTTAAATGCAACTTAACGTCTTAATTTATAACGAACTCAACGGTGAAGGTAAAAATCGTGAGGAAACTTGCATATTTAAAATAATATCTGAAATATTAATAAAAAAAGTTTTGAAGATTTGTGTAATCTGCCAATCCGCGTTGGGGTCGCGTGATGGACTATTCCCTAACAGCCTCTGTAGAATCTTTACAGAGGAGGCCTGTGTCCAGCTGTGGGTCGTAATTGTATAAGTTCTTACTTTAACCTATGTCTTCATTGACGCGTTTCCTTCGTCCGATAGAGTCAAATTTTTGCATAGTTTGATGTCAACATTGCTAGAACGTGTCTGTCTGCTGAAAGTACGTGTATCATCAAAGTTCAATAGCTTCAAGACTTTATAAATTGGCAACTGCCAAATTTATTCCAGTCTTGTATGAAGAAAATGGGTTAAATCTGGCAGCTGTAAATATAATTAGTAATTGAAAATCTTGTAATTGAAAAATTTCGTCGTCTACGGACAAATGGAAATAAACGGAAAATTTTAAATGTTTCAATAAATTATTAAGCAAAGATGCTTTTTTCGTTAATTCTAGATAATAATTTAATGTTCTGCACGCTTTTACTGATTTATTTTATTGGCATTAAACAGACAAAACAAAAATAAAGCGTTTCAAAGTAAACGTTTTGAGGCCTGTTTAAAATAAGAGAAGATGAAACGGAAGTAGCGTTCTTCCTTATTGAATTTCTTGTTTAAAACACTCACAAAAAGTAAATCTTTCACCTGCCAGTGTTACTTATTTTAAAACGAACTATTCGCTTAAATGCAAGAGAGTAGTATTTTAATTTTCTGGCTTTACAAACTTGTTAAGCGGCTCCTTAGTATTATGATACGCTGCAATTATATCATCCTAATAATTAACTTATGCATACACATATATGTATATAGTATTTAGCGATCCATAATTTAATAATTTCAATAATTGTTTATTTAACAAATGACAATTAGTGAGTGTACAACAAATAGTCTGTTAAATTTTGTTTGTGTGTAAGAGTTGCGAAATAATTCCTGTGTTGCAGAAAGTTCCATAAACCTGAAAATCACGCTGATAAACTACACTCGAAGCTGTTATATAGTTTGTGTGTTATATAGTACAACTGAGTCGTCGGGCCATAAACGCCAATAGGTATAGGAATGTGCAGTGCGCCCGAACATGTTATCGATAATTCGTTACCTTAGCATGTGTGGTCGATGTGTCATTGTTGTCCTCACAACCTCTCGCTTCTCGCTAGCTCCTAATTGGTCGTGATCGTGACCTTGTGCCGCTGCCACCCCAAAAATTTTGTTTTGCTATAACTATACACATGTATTTATTTGTTTATTTTTTAATTGCACACTTTATTGTACTAACTGGTACAAACGGCGGGCTTAATGCCAAAAGGCATTTTCTACCATGTACTGTAATTATTACATTCATGGATATCTCTCTTCGTACACAATGGCTTATTTTCTAACGTAAACCTGAAGAACTTTAAAGGTTGTATAAGCCCTCAAACTCGGACAGTGTTAATAACGTGTTATTGTTTGTAAATGAACTGAAATTTCACCCGAAAACTAGTTTTAATGAATTTAAATTAGCCACGTGAAATGGCATCGCTTATTTGTGAAGAGTCGCGGAGATACAGAGGACTGAAATTCTTATAGGGAAGAATAAATGTTATTCATATAACATTTTTATTATACCTTTTGTTTATATTATAACATTTATCACATAAAAATTTTCAGCAACACAATACTGTTTGTTTAGATATTATTACTTCACTGACCGGTATGCACTTTTGTACATCTTGCGCACTTCACTATGAGGTTCCATAAGACCTATAAGTGCGAGCGAGATAGACAATGATTGATGAACCGACGACTCTGTTGATAACGCGCCGAGTATAGTTAAAATTTGTGTGTGACTTGACTGAAATAAGATACCATTACGAAAAACGATATCGATACATTGTGTACAATGATTGATCCTAAATGACACTAAGTAAGGAAACAGCCATTAAGCATTAGTTCTCTGACAGGCTAAACCCTTCTTCGATATTATGTGCTTGTTGTTTTTATCGATATAAGAAGTTTTTAATTTACGAAGGAAATTCGATCTAAAAAAAATCACTTGTATAACCAAAGTGAATACTGCATTAATCAAGTAATAAAAACATATTTGGCTCGTGACGAGTAATTGGCAGTAATATGATAATTAATAATCCCAATTGCACTTTTTACTATATCAAATCGGTTGCCTTTAATAATATTGCCAAAACAAAAACGTCCAATTTCGATCACAGTCTTGTCATGACGGGAATGTCTTTGCGTAAACAAATTTGTTTGTCATTTGTTTACTTAAAATGTTACCGATTGAAGGCTAACGACTAAATTATTTGGACTAAATTGAATAGTTATTCATTTTCCGGTTGTTAACTGAGTTCTTACTTGCCATTCTAAACGTTCCGTCGAAAACCTTATTGCTTATGGTTATCCAATCCTAATTTGTAGAATGCGTTTAGGTTTGTTTATTGTAAATCGACTATGACCTGTCACATATAATTATACACGTCATCGCAGATGGTGCAGTGGCTCAAGTGGTCACCATAACACAAGCTATTGTTTGCTGTTGTTCGGATTCGATCCCGACACGCGAAAAAAATTTTGGAGCACAAACATTTTTTCTTGTATTGGGATGAATAGTTGTTACGTGTCTGCGTGCAGTTTTTGAGTTTTTGTCCGTGAGTACATGTTTATGATATCTCCCCTGACATAGAAATTATTTCTTTTGTCAAAACAAAAAAAAAATATCGTATATAAACTAACATAAAACAGTATAGCTTTGAATGCGTTATACGAAATTCTGTATATTCTGATTTTGAATCGCACACTTTTACAACACAGGAACTAGAAATTTCTAACGAATCCCCGTCACGAAGCTATTTGAAATGTAATTGTTTATACGCCATCGCGTGGCGAGATTGATTACCTTCCTCCCCATTAAGGTACGCGAGCTAAAAATAACTTAGCGAGGACTGAGTCAGTTCGATCAACGAAGGCTCTTCCACGTTTAGTTATACTTCCGAGTTCACGATCAATGCGTCTTAAAAAAAGCGTTTAAATCGTAAATAAATTGTGCTCTAGTGCCGACAGACGACAGAAGACCTGTGTTGGTAAAGCACACACTTACCGAACTCAGACTAGTTTTGGTGCTAGACTAAAATTATTTATATTTCTGTCAAGTGGAGCTATATTAGCCGTGGGAATGTACATCGTATATTATTGCAATCCGATCTGGCACTTCCCGGTGCCAATTTTACAAACTCTGATGTTAATAATTTGAGCACATAGCAATTTAATTATTAAACACAGCATAGCAATTGACTCGAAGGTCCAACGGTTTTGACGCTGTTAGTCTATTAACTATCTGACTATTTCTTAAACGTACCTAATCAATGAACAAAACTCTGACTATTTCTTAAACCATTTTATTAGGTAAATCAATAAACAAAACAAGTTTATGAACCAAATTTATTCAAGCGAACAGGATGTTGATTCGGTTTAAGACATTTTATCATATACCAGAATTGTCTCTAAATTATGTATTATTCCAATAGCTAACGGTGATTTGTTTATTCCATTAAGATTAATATTACTATTACAGAGTTCTTTAACACTGAACTTTACAAAAGGGCTGTAGGTGAAAAGACATTTCGAATACCGCAAGTTAACAACACGGGCAGCGTAAATTAGATTTCGTTTACACAATGTTATCATAATAAAGTAATATTCTCGCGTCATGATTTAATGACGCTTATCCTTACTTAGCGGTTAATAAACGGAGTCAACATTATATGAAACAATTCATATAGAATTGGCGCCAATCATTTCGACTTTACTACACGTCATGTACGTTGGACTTAATACAAATGAAGTAGGTATGACGTAATGGTAACATTTATTTATATTACTATAAACTTTTGAAGTAGAAATATACACTTCATTCGCGTTCATTCGTTATGGATATTTGCAGTAATAAATCGGTCTTTAACCGCGGACACGAGTGATGAAGGTAGTATCAATTGTGTTGAAATATTTATGGGACATTAAACACGTAGAATAATTGATTGTTGCAGTTGTCCTTAACACCATAATTATAAAGTAATTATTTTTAATAGAGCCGTGATAGGTCAGTGTCTGGACCTCGTTTTTATTTAATTATACATAAATTGTTAACTTTAAGTGCTAACTTATCACATGCTCATCATATAAGAGTTAAATACAAGCCAAGATTGAACAAAATATTTTTGTCTATTTGACCTATTCCGCATTTTCTTCCCATTAAATCTATAATATATAATATTATAATCATGCTTTAATAAGATAGTGCCAAGCCTTACCATATTATGCAGGCCTTATTAAGAGATAAGTACCTGGAGGACCGAGCTTTGCTCGGTTTGTTTTTTCTTTTTGGTAAATCATGTATATTGGAAATTACTTTTAGATACAAATTACCGAGTAATGAAATATGCATAATATTTTTCAATCTTACCGACGTAATAATAAGAAAATATAAACTGGTGGAACTATAAAAAAAAAAGGGAAAAAAATAACAAAAACATCTGGATCGACAAAAAATAAAGAAAGCAATGATCTGGAATCGAAAAAAAAAGGAAAAAAACTAGCTCGAAAGGTAAATAGACTTAGATAAAGCTAAGAAAAGCGAAAGTAAGACTTCATTATTTAAAGCAACAATCTATTACGGATAGTTAATCGGACAAACAAAAGGGCAATAACGAGGCTTCATATAGGTAAGCTTTACGTTATTCTCAAATTATTTTTTTTCCCATTGAAACGCTGTGTTGAAAGGATCCGTGCCAAGTCGGATCGCTTTGACACGTATGAATGATCGAGTATTACGCAATGTTCAATGGAGAATGGAGATGCTATGAAATCCGTCAAGTGACGTAACTAGAAGGGCCGATAGACGCGACTTGGTATGAGGGAACTACGACACAAACCAAAAACAAAAATCAAACCTTGAAAAACATTAACATGATACCGTATTACTGTCCTTTAGCATTACTAAACCAGATAAAAATTTCCACTATCCTTTACGTTTTAATCGTTGGATGACGTCATTTAATAAAGTTTTTGGAATCTTTCCATTGACTAGAGCCCACATCTAATCGAAGAAAACGATTTGGAACGATCTAGAGACGATACATTTTTCTAATAAGCGGTAAAGTATTCAACGGTAATTTCAAAGGCATTGCATAAGAGGACAACAACAAATGTGAAACATACGAAATGACTTTGATGAAACGTTTCAAATAACAAGTTTCATTGCTTTATCGCGAAAAGAAATGTAGAATTTTTATAAGCAAGGTTAATAAATAAATAGTTCTAGGTAATGATAAAATGTGCTACTTTAATAAAATGCGAAAAGTCAATGGCGTGGCCGCACGGAAAATATTATTACTTCGTAATTTCAATTAGTCTCATAATTATACTATTTCAATGCAAGGACCTACCTAAAGGATACCTGAGGTGACGTTGACGATAATATTTTCAATGCAATAATGATTTAACAATATCTACAAAATGCGTAAGGATAGATAGTTAAAAAATTATTTAATATACTTATATTTCAGCTTTGTATCATATTCTTATTATCTATTTCTCACGCTTCGTATTTGAATCTTGTGTTAAATACTATAATGGTAGCTAAACTGCAAACGAGCGTGAGCTTACAGCGACACATTTTAAGGACAAGAAAAATCATGGAGAATCAATATATTTTAATTAAATAGTCAAAAATTGATGAAAAGTTTTTCACCGCCGTGGGATTACAAACAACGCGCTCAGATTCTAATATTTCATCTTAAGAGCAGAGATTAATTAGCATTTAATAAAAAAACAATTCAAAAATTAATTTCAAAACTCAACATTACTCATACTTAAGGTATTGCTCGGACTGTCTTCAATTATGGAAAAAAGGCCTACAGCGATATCGTAACAAAGTCAGCTTATGTTAAAAGTCATTGCTCGAAAGCAAAAGGCAGGCTAGCATTTTTATTTTGAAACCACTATTATATTCAATTACATCTTAGATTTTATTCTGAATTGGTAACATACATTAATACAACGTCTGCTATTAATTACGAGGCCTCGAGGGGGAGAATGTAAAGATATTACATAACAATAGCATAACCAAGTTTTGTAATCACTGAACTGAATGGTATACCCACTTTTATTGAGTAAATAACAATTAATTCGTTTTATTGTACCGGTAAAATATCACGTTGTTAATATTATTTATCTTTAAATTTTTAAAGAATGGACAATTAATGTAATAAATAATATTAATAATAATTAATGTAATATATAATATTTTTATACATGTTTGCATAAGCATAAGGAACCTGTTAGTTGAAATTTATAAATAATAAGTCATTTGTTAACTTTGGATTAGATTTCTAAAAAAAACCAGTATACGATATGTGAGTATAAGTATAGAGACTTGTTTAACTAGTTTGGAGATAACAAGATTAGAAGTATAACGTAGATCTACTTTCAATACCAATCAAGTTAACTTAGTCGTAAAGATAGTAAAATGTTATTCTTACGTAATGTAATTAAATAAGTGATTGTGCTATGCATATCCTAATATGTAATGTTAGAACAACTAATCTTTACCAAGATTTAAAACGTCTGAAAGAGTTATCTAAATCATTTTAATGCTTCTTATTAAATACCTTAACATAAGTTTAAACGATTTTTAAAACTACTATAAGAATGACAGTAACAATACAAGTAATGACATCATTTAAAACAAGCTTTTGTTGAAGATATATTAATATACGTGCAATTAGCAGAAATTTAAGTTGACAGTTTCCATAAATAACTAACGTCCCCGCCTTATCTATCTTGAGACAGCAAATATTGTCTATACACACAATGAAACGAAAAACGTATTTAACATCAATAAACGATGATGCGAGGCGTTATCATTAACGATCTATTTAATTAGGCGCAAAGTGAATATTCCATTCCATGTAGGTCATGGAAATTTTTGATGTTATACTTCTTTTGGCGTGTTTGGAAAAATTATGACAGTAATACAAGAATTTCACGATACGCGCGCCCACGAACCTTCAAAAAGCGAAATGTTAAAGTCGTTGCCATCTAACCCACTTTACAACTTTTTGACATGTAACCATAATTCCAAGTACCTAATAACCGTTATCTATTGCAAAGTTTGCAAGTCTTTTTCACGAATAAAGAGTGCCAATGCACATGGGATACATTTTTTAGTTATTTTTCTTTTGCTTTCGCTAAGGAAGTATAACTTACCTGCGTAAATAAGTAAAGGCACACATTTAAAGATAACATGAGATTGTTATAATAAATTTATGTATTTGAATTTCCAGGTCTATAGAAGACAAGAAGCCGGAAGGTTCCTTCATATTGACGCCGCTCTCGAAGGATTCGAAGCTCAGGAGGCATATACGGTCGATGTCAGATGTTCAAAGCAGCACTCCATACAGGCTACCGTTTAGATCGAGGAAAGGAGGCAACCACATCCTCACTTACGACTCTGACACGAGGGCCAGAAGAACCATGTCACTGAACAGGCATAAACTGTTAGAGTCCTCGGATTCGAGCGACATTGACGCGATGAAGAACCAGAGGAGCATAGAGAACAACATCATGAAGCACTCTGATTCAATGAGAATACTTTAACTTTTAAATATCCGACTGAGAATGAGGCTCTACCTTAAAGCTCTACTATCTAGTGCAATGCTAGATAGTAAAACGTTGGGTTATTGTATTGTCTAAGTGTCTCGTCAATGACCTATCAAAGACTTACGAGAGTTAAGAAAAATGAGTTGTAAACATCCCAACGTGATCAACAAAGACTTTTATGACTGTGATTGCGTTAGATTAATTTCTAATCATTATTAAGCGAAAATGTGTGGTATATGAATGAAAGAAGAGATTTAGTTTATAAGAAAAACTGATGTGCAAAGATTTAGCGATATACAATGTCGCTATGTTAAATTGTGCAGGTTGAAATGGCCATGAAATCTTCCCTTTATTAGGTACGCTTGTTAAGGCTAGTACTATTGATGGTAATACGTCATAATTTTATCTTTAATAATATTGGGGATAGTGAGACTTTATCATTGGAAGTAAAAGCTTTATTTTATTACATCTGCCAGGAGCATTTTGTATATAATCCATATTTAATACAACATCGTTACACTGTAAGAGAAGCGACATTGTTACAACCAAAGAGGAATCTCTCTGGTTGTCATAGTAGTCAATGGTGACTGAAGTTAATGTTACTAGATCGTAAAGTGAGTGACAGACGGTGCGGTGGTGCCCATTCTGCCTGGATAATAGATATAGAAAATCTTCTTAAACAAAAATTTGACTGAGATGGACGTAGGGTTTTAATATTTGTTTTGTATAAAATAATGCCTCAAAGGTTATAATTATATGTCTGTGTTTAATATATAAAACGTGAATAATAACAAATATAGGGTTATTCCATTCTTTATCTGTACTTTGCGCACATTTATGTTTAACTATAATAATGTTTCTGTGCCATAATCTTCGATCGACTCTAACGGCTTAAATATTTTTATAATAGTTGACCGTGTTCAGAATTTCACAAATTAAACGAGTTGAAACATTTTCAATGCTTTTTTCTTCATTTATTGATTTATCATTATGCTATTTATAACCCACATAAGTTTGGTAGGGTTATTAGATAATAACCTAAAAAATATATAGAGCCATGATGGCTCAGTGTCCGGGCGCTCGCCTTTAATTACATATACGCAAGAAACCTGAGTTCGATCCCCGGTGCCAGCACCAATGAAATTTTTAATTTTAAGTACTGAATTATCACGTGCTCGACGGTGAAGGAAACCAGCATATTTTCGAAATAATAATAAAAAAAAATATTTCGAAAATATGTGAAGTCCGCCAATCTGTAGTGGAGGCCTTTGGCCAGCAGCGGTGCATTTATACGCTGTTACTTTACTTTTTTTTAAATATAACAACAAAAATGCATGACTCACATACGTTTTATATTACATGAGCAATACAAGAGAATAAACGGATTAACAAATTAAAAAAAAAAGATTTTTAGGAATTACAAAAGAAAAGAAGTCGATCTTTATTTAATAACTTAAAAGGTTGTGAGTGCAATAACAAAAATCAAATCCTCCTTGTAATAAATTCAAAGTTATTTAGCAAAATTTATCTTAATTTATTGATTATATTTCTCTAAAATATAAAATCCCTCCGATGCATAGACGAACGTCCGTTACACATTTTTTTCGATCCCAATCGTTTGTAATGTAATCTAAAGTGAATCAATTGGAAAAAAATTGATCTTAAAATTTAATGTCACTAGTTATTCAAACGTTAATTCAATATCTAGCTTATAGTATAATAACGGTATGGATTCAACGCCTAGCTAGGTAGTATAATAACGATTTTATGTAGCGAAACTGGAGTATGCCCACATTAATCGAGAGTAAGCACTCTCACACGCAGTGCGTCTTACACGACTTGCAAGAATATAATATGTATGTTAATAAAGTCGTTGCAATCCATGGCACTAACCTTGTACGTCACTGATAAATAGTGATCAACCGAGATACAATTAAATACTATCAAAATGTACATTTAAATGATTTCGTTTCGACGCCCATTTCTGACATAAATAAAGCATATAAGAGAAAATAAGGAGTGGTAGGTTAACATGGCAACGTGCCCGTTATGAGAAGGGTGAAAGCCATGTGCATGAAAAGGGTTGGAAGGTGTGGTGAAGCTAGAGAAATACCGAGAAATAATTGGATGGACTGGGTGAAGAATTATGTCTGTGCAATAGGTGAGTGTTAAGATGACGGCTAATAGATGAAAGTGGAAGGAAACTATTAACTACATGACCAGGGCCGTGCCTGGGTATATGGCCGCCTGCGTGCCAGTCTGCATGGCCGCCCCCAGGATAACATTAAAAAAAACTACTTTAATTTTTAATGTTTATTATTTTACACAGGGCATCAAACCGGGAAAAAAATCAGTTTTTGGTTAACCGAAATCGAGAACGAAAAAAAATATTAAAAAATAAAATAATAAAATAATTGCACTATTTTATTATTTATTTTAATTATTATTTAATTTTTTTTTTAATTTTTTTTAATATTATTAAATATTTTTTAATATTTATTTAAGAATTTCATATCAAAAGGCCTTTTCCCTCCAAAAAGACCCGCCAAAATTTCCCGGGCCCAAAAAGTGAAAGTCTACCCAAATTTTACATTTTTTGTGTATTACCTTTTTCAGTCTTTGTCGAGTAAATAAACTTTTTATTAAATTTCACCACACGAACACACAACTAAAAGTTTTCAGGAATTAAGCAATTTATTTTTATTCGTTAAATTAAAGAATTTAATAATATCGGATCACACACAGGACACAAATAACGATTTATCATCGCTAGTCTATAGACTAATACGACTAATAAGACGAATAAGACCGCTTACGCGACGCCGGTCAATTGAAAAAACTATTTCGGCTCGTCGCTCGTGCAATGTTCGAAAAAATTCGGATTCGCTGCATGACTAGGTATATAAATACTACAACGACCTAATCAGTTTTTATACATTTCTTATTTCTGAGAAACTCTTTTTAGATAGATTAGATTAGAGAGAAACTGTTTTTACTTCGTATCTTAATGAAAACAAACCGATTGTATTTTTGCCCAGTAAACAACTTGTAACGATTTGGCCGCCTCTTAATTTCGGCCGCCTGCGTGCGGTGCACGCAATGAACGCCCGTCAGGCACGGCCCTGTACATGACACGCCGATCGACCCTATCTAGTGTGGCATAAGGGCAGAGGAATAAATTTATTGCATTCTATAAAAATAATTACCATAAATAATTAATCATCTCTATAATTTTTAGTAATTTTAATTGATTGTTAATTTACTCATTTAACAATTATTTGTAATTTGATCAACAATAATAATAATAATATGCTTTATTGTACACCAAACATACATAGCAATTTCTTCGAGGCAACCTCAGAATTTTTTCAAAATAAATTGTTATTGGTAGGATGTACATGAAATTAAGTAAAAAGAAAGTTGCAACAAAAATTAAAGTAATAAGAACAACATACCTCTTGTGTGTGATCATCAAAGTCAAAGTGAAATAAAAAGGGAAGGAGAGAGACATCGAGAGATAGAAAGGAACTAGATAGACAGATAATGCTTCTTAACCTGTCTTTTAAAAGAATCTACGGTTTGAGGACGTTTGATAGCCAAAGGCAAAGAGTTCCAGAGTTTAACAGCAAAAGCAGAGAGAAGGATTTATGGTAAAAACTAGTGGATCGCAAGGATGTTTAAGGAAGAGGTTTTCATTTGAACGTAGAGGAAGGTTATGAGAAGAGCAAAGAAATTAAAAACGTTCCTTCAAATAATCCGGACTTGATACATTAAATAGGACGCAGTAAAGAGCAGAAACAATATGAGTATTCCGGCAAAATCGAATCGGGAACCACTTAAGCTTAATGCGATATTCTGATACATGGTCATATTTACGAAGTCCAAATATGAACCGTATACATAGATTTTGCAGTCGCTGAAGTTTATTAAGGTGCTCCTCAGTGATGTCGAGATAGCATAATTATGTCAGCATAATCAAGAATAGGGAGCAGCAAAGAATGGGCAAGCGTAATTTTGGTCGAAATAGGTAAAAAGGAAGGTATACCTTCTGAGCGAACCACATGCTGCAAATAATTTACGAGCGACTGCATTAATTTCATAATCAATAATAATCAATAACAATTTAAAGAACTATAAAATATATGTTATAGGTATAGCGCCATCTACTTTTCAATTCCCGCATTTGTTCGTAATAAAAATTATATTATAACGTAACATTTTTCCACGATGGCACTGTTATAAATATATTTAAGTGAAAAGTGTGTTATAATTGGATCTCTTTCCATTTTTCTTGATTCAGATGAACTAAGTCTTGTTGACATCGCCCCGATTCATGGTGTTATAAAACGAGTGACAGTTATCAGAGAAATAAAAAAAATGTTTGTGTACTTTTAAACGAAAGCGGTAAACTTGGTCTTGCAATCAATCGAAGTGAGACAAAGTTAATGGTCGTGGTTCGTGCCGGCCTTTTGTCTGGCACTCACAACATTGAGGGGATAGACACTGTGAATGGAATCTCCAAAAGTACCAAAATGCGTTTGGTACGAGCCCTAGTGTTTTCGATCTTTATATATGGAGCCGAAACGTGGACTGTCTGAAGGAGACGAAAGCTTGGAAAGGTTGACCTCCAGCACGGTGGACAGACCAGCTCAAGGACAGAGAACCGTCTCCGAATTTCTGCAATGTGGTTAGGACCGCAATGTACGGGAATCGATGGAGAGATCTCATTCGTGTTAAAATGACGACCGCCAACCACGATCATTAGACATGATGAAAACGACCAAGAAATTATATTAAAACATTGACACCCGGTTTCTGAAACACTGATCAAGAAACTTGAAAAGCCATTTGAGAGCTGATTAGTTGACAACTACGATGTTCAGAAACCAGGCGCGAAACTAGCTAATTAGCTATAGAATATGGTTAATTAATATAGTAAAATAGTTCGGTATAGTACCACAAGAGTGTACTGTCGCACTTTTTGGTATAAAATATCACTAGTATATAATATATAATAAATATAATACTAGTAGCTCCAACAACCGGGCTTCCTGTTTCCACTGCCTTGAAAAAAGCCGAAGATAGAGTGGTGTGGAAGCAGCTCGTCGCCGATTCACTTAAATTTTTTCAGGACGGACACGACCTTCAGTAATGAAGACCACGAAGAAGAAGAAGCTCCAACAAAAACAGAACTTTAAACAACTTCTTCTTACAATTAATTCTCTATACCCTTTCTCCATACTTGAAACCAAAGAGAATGTAATCACTACGTTTGCTTGAAACCTACGACATTGACAGCTGTCAGAGTTAGTTTTTGTAGGGTATCGGTATCGCTATCGATAGTTTATATTATTTTGTACACATATAAAAATGCATATTTGTCAAATAAAATAATATTCATATATAAATACAGTATTTACATTAAGAATATTTCCATATATTTACACAAACTTAAAGATACGACGGTTTTGAGGATGATCTCAAGTTAAACAAGATTTAGAAGTATTTCGTTTGTAATTTGTATCGATATTTTGTTTCTTTTCGTTCAGTTCACGGGTTCATTTATTCGTAATAAAATTTTAATTGGAATTGGAATTTCTAGCTGTCAAGTCGAGAACTCGAGAAGAGCTGTAGATTACAAATAAATGTAAACATTTCATTTTATCATTGTTATATTTTATTATTTTATTTGTGGAGTGAAGGTTTCAATGGCACAGATCACAACCACAGTTGTTATTATTGAAAAGTGAAATTCATTGTGAAATGAGAACTGCTAGAGAAAGTAATTTTCCCGGTTTTTGTTATGTGGAGTAAATATTAACTTTTTAAAGATTTCAAAAATTTTAATATTTTTTAAAACAAAGAATGTGTTTTTTCCAGTATTTCCTTTTGACGGGAAAATGAAGAAATTATTTAGCGTTTTATTTATTTTAAAATGCATTTCTGGGGATCCGACACCTATTGTTCTTTGGCATGGAATGGGTGGGTATAATTTTCTCTATAACTGGTTAAAATAATTATGATGTTTTATAAAGATTTTTATTAATTATATAGGTGATACATGTTGCTATTTCTACAGTCTCGGATCGTTCAAATTGTTTTTGGAGAGGCAAATAGCAGGTGTATATGTAAATTCCCTACAAATAGGAAATTCGACAATAGACGATTTTGATAATGGTTATTTTATGCATCCAAACAAACAAGTAGAATATGTGTGCAGATTGTTAGCCAATGATCCGAAATTAGCACAAGGATTTAATGCAATTGGATTCTCACAAGGTGCTCAATTTTTGTAAGTAACATTTTGTTATTTATAACATGCTATCAATTATTTTAATTTATATTTACTTGTACTTTCTTCAAATTCGCTGTATGATATCCAATACCTGTAATAGATATTATTTTAAACATAGTGGGGTAGGTAGTTTCTGTTTTTGTTTAAATTGCATACATGTATGTTTATTCAATTAATTTTTAACAGATAATGTAAATCACATGAAAAGTACTTTCTTGTGGGAAGATAGACACATTCTAATGTATAATAGTTAATGTATAATACCACTGTAATCATAATTATACAAATCTTCAGCTTATGTTATGATTACCTTTGTACAATTCTTGTTTCTTAATTAATGTAAAATTTGGAATTTCCCCAATTCCCAAAGATCACCAGGTCATAAGATATAAATATTTACTTCAAGCTGGTGCTTGAAGTAAATATTTTTAATCATCTAGGTATTTAATGGCTTAATGGTTTTATATTCACACACTTGTTAAAAATTGCCAATTCTAATAAAAATGACCTTCATACCTAGACCTATTTTATTTCATATAAATAATCAAAATTAATTTATTTTCATAGGAGAGGTGTTGTTCAGCGATGTGGTCACAAATTGCCACCAATAAAGAATCTGATATCATTGGGTGGTCAACACCAAGGTGTATATGGTCTGCCACATTGTGGAGCCTTAGAACATACAGCTTGTGACTATGTGAGAAAGCTGCTTAATTATGCTGCTTATTATAGGTATAATATTAATCTTAACTCCTTTAGGTATTATTGTAATATTGTAAATATTGATCCTTAACTTAATAAATATTTTCATTCACAATATTAGATGTATTCTACATTTTGCAGGAAAATTAGAATAAAAGGTTAATTTTTATAAAGTATGCTTTCCGTATTTGGCAATTCGGTTGATATTAAGTGATCACTGCCGCACATGGACATTATATGAATCATCATGTATATGGTTGCAGATGTTTTGGCCAACCTTTGTAAGAGTGGGCCCTGAATACTTTACATAACAGCAAAACTCAAAGAATGATACTTTTACACTTTACCCTGTCTTTTATGAGATGGTATTTCCTACGGATGAGACTGCCCGCGCGTATAAAAAAATATATTTACTGAAGTATTAATTAGCACAAATATAGCGAACTTTCAAAACGTGTATTCACATACATAATGTTATGACTTTGCTGATGACACTATTATCTCGGGTTATCAATTTTTGCCGTTAATATTGACATTAAACAACTAATGTTAATCAAAACTAGTTTTGATTGTTATTGACTTTCTAGAGGCGATGTAGGGGATAAATACGATACATAATTGAAGCTATGTTTAACATTCCTAATTAGCTCTGCCTATTCTTTTTCAAAGGCGATGATCTGTATTTTTTATTTACTACCGTGAAAAGGAATTCCGCAAAACTACATTTTTTTTTTTTCAGTTGGGTACAAGATTCCCTCGTCCAAGCAACGTACTGGCACGATCCACTAAACGAGATTGTTTATAAAAAACAGAGCCAATTTTTGGCCGATATAAACAACGAGAGAAGAATAAATACAACGTACGTTCAAAATCTGAATCGTCTGTCGAGTTTCGTTCTCGTGAAGTTCGACGGTGACAGCATAGTGCAACCGCGCGAAACTGAGTGGTTCGGCTTTTACGCGCCGGGCCAGGCTGAGCGGTTGGTGACTTTGGAGGAGACTGCTCTCTATAAAGAGGTATTTATCTCTCACTTCTTAACCGACTTCAAAAAACGAGGATCTCAATTCGATTTTTTTTATGTTTGTCACCTCAGAACTTTCGACTGAGATAACCGATCTTGACGATTCTTTTTCTATTTGAAAGCTGGTGCTTCCCATGTGGTCCCATATTAATTTCATTGGTATTGGATCTTGGGCTCCGGAGATACTTAAGGAACTCCTGAAAATCAATTATAAAATGAAGGCAGAGAGATATTTGGTCGCTTTTGTTTTTCGTTAATAAAAAATGGACTTGTGTTCTTTTTCATAATAATCCTTTTTTATGTGAGAATAATAGACTTTAAAAAGTAGGAGGTTCTCAATTCGATTGGTATATTTTTTTTTATGTATGTACATCGTTTACGCTGAGATTTATGATCCGATTAAAGATTATTCTTTAGTTTAATGCAGAATAGTTGTAATTTAGTCCCATAAAAATTTAACATACTTTGGCCGAGTAGTTTTCATTTTATGAACATTTTTTTATGTGAAAAGTTGACAAACGAGCTGGTGGTTCGCCTGATTCTATTTGACATTTTCAAAACTCGACGGGTTGCAGATCCGTTGCCACCTTTTAATAAACTGTGCCCCGGCTGGCTCACAGAAGAAACGCAGAAATAACACTGCCTCTTTATGCCGGTCTCCTGTAAGGTCGTGGTAATTACCCGAACGGGCCTGCCCATTCGTGCAACGGGGAAGACTGTTGCGTGCTCATACCACAGCCAAAATCCAATTGAATTTGATCTCAGAATGATCTCTGTTTGATTTTTTTTAGTGTTTGCTTACGAAATTTTGGGAACTTAAAAGTTTGCGTTTAATTTTTAGTGATATAACATTGCATTAATATTATGAGTACGTCACCTAGGCTTTAATTGTTCATACTTTATTTTAATAGGATCGTTTGGGGCTAAAGGCGATGAAGGAATCCGGTAAACTTATATTCCTGTCGACACCTGGGGACCATTTGCATTTCGAAGAGAAATGGTTCATCGAGGAAATAATCAAACCCTATTTACTGTAGTGAATAAAGGGGAACAACACTATGTAGAGGCTCATAGTACACTTATAGTAATCTCATAAGTATTTATCATAAGAATCTCGTAATGAACATGCGTATGACGTATTTGGCGCGCAAAACTTAATTGCGCCTCATAAAGTTAACGCGCGGTTCACATTTGTATGCTAAATAGGTATTTAGTATATGCCAGGAATAACGAATGTTACGATATACAGTAATAAATACGACGGTTTTATATCTAAAAAAACGTTTATTAAATATCTCACATAACTTATCTCATATCTTGTCGTGTATAAGTCCTACAAAATAATAAGATTGTGTGTGTTGTTGAATTTAATTATATTAAAATAAACTTGGTTGGTTACCTTACCTGGTAAAATGGTAAATGGTATGAGAACACGCGCCGTGGTAGGTGGTCGGAAGTGAACTGAAATGCTATTATTAACATATTTATTAATTATTATTGATATGATATGATGACTGCGCGTTCTGCCAGGTAATGTACTGCACTTTGTACACCTCTCTCTCTCTCGCTCTCTTCTTTTTGGCAAAAATACGTTGTGAGTTGCTTCAAACATTTGGGCATAAAAGATTATTCATATAATTAGTTTATTAAAGATAGTCATGCTCGGGGTTTCTCTGTGAGATCGAATCAGAAATGAGGAGATCCGTAGAAGAATTAGAGTTGCCGACATAGCAGAGCGAGCGAGCAGCGTTGAAAGGCCTCCTACAAGGTGGACGGACGACCTAGCCAAGATCGCAGGGACGCGTTGGATGCAGGCCGCTAACGACCGGTCGAAGTCGGTCGATGATGATGATGATGAAAGATAGTTTTCGTAAGATCATTTTATGTTGAATATGCAATTTAAAAAATATAATTTTTCTTATTAATAAAATATTTGTATAGTATATTCCTAGTTGTTAATTTACGATACATTTCCCTCATACCTAACTTCAGAATGTATTCTACTTTTTTTTTTTTTTGTGAAATTTTTTTTAACTTTAAGTGCAGACTTATCACGTGCTCCGCGGTGAAGGAAAACATCGTGAGGAAACCTGCATATTTTCGAAATAGTAACAAAAAAATAAAAATTTGAAGATATGTGAAATCTGCCAACCCACAGTGCCCAGCAGTGGGACATGTATAGGCTGTTACTTTTTACTTTTTTTATGTGAAAAGTTGCCAAACGAGCAGACGGTTCACCTGATGGTAAGTGAATACCGCCGCCCATGGACATCTGCTACACACGAGGGTTACAAATGCGTTGACAACCTTTTGAAAAATGGGCTCCGGATACCTCACTCACCAGATGAAACGCGAAAGTATTTGTCATACTTCCACTTTACGCTGGTCTTCTGTGAGGTCGTGGTACTTACCCGGAGTGGGCTGCCCATTCATGCAACAGTCGAGGCTGCTGCGTGGCCCTACCTTACTACCGATCAGCCTTGGCTTCGCACGGGTGCAACGTATTACACCTATAAATTTCCTCTTGAATCACTTTATCTAGTGAAAAAACCGCATCAAGATCCGTTGCGCAGTTTTAAAGATCGGAGCATACATAGGGACAGACAGATAGCGGGATGACTTTGTTTTATACTATGTAGTGATAAATGACAATGACTTTGTTTTATACTATGTAGTGGTAAACATATATACAGGCTTTTTGATCAGACTTGTATTATAAGGTAAACCAATTCTATGTGACGCGATCACATTAGAGAAATAACAAGACAGTTCCTTAATAAAGCGTCAGGCCGCGAATGCCGAAGACGTGGGTTTGATTCCCACGGCGGCGACAATCTTTTCGTACTTTTTCTACACATTTTAATTTTCTACATATTTTAAGACAGTTCCTTCTTCGTCATTTCAATTTTAGCCTGTCTTAGTCCACTGGCAAACATAGGTCTCTGTCCCAAAAATCCGCTACGAAGCACAAGCCACCTGCATCGGTTCCTTCAAGAGAGCCGAAACTCATTTCAATCCTTCAGTGGAAATGCGATTTTACAAACAGAAACCCTAACACGACAGGGTCCGCGTAAACTTCTCGGCCGGTCGGGGAAGGGGTCTAAAGATTTCCGGACCCTTCCGAAGTCCCGACACACGAATAATGATAGCATACACAAGAAAATAGTTCTTCCTCGCTTACGAGCGAGGCGAAACGAACACAACGCGAATGCAGAAGTACTCAAGGTGTGCCTGGTTTCCAGGGCGGTTCTCCGTTCCAGCCATCGTTTAACACAGTGTCTGGTCACTCAGAGTCCGCACCGAACCCTAATGGATAGACGACAATTCCTCCTCTTATAAATAACGCACTCGTGAGCACATGTGCAGCCCTAATCAACAGGAGGGTGTCAAGCTCGTGGAATCTGGCAACCCCACGGGTTCTATATTCGAAGCTTTAATAGTCTTTGGAATGAAATTAAGTGTATCAGTCTTATAAAGATAAAAAATGGTAAATCACACTAGCTGCATTATTTTTAACCGACTGCACGATGCAAAGGAGGATTGTGTTTATCGGTTGATTCAAGTTTGTTTGTTCCATTGTGGCGCTCTAAAGACCAATCAAAGTCAAAGTCAAAGTCAAAGTCAAAGTATATTTATTCAATATAGGCCTAACTTAAGCTCTTATTGAACGTCAACAAAAATCTACCACCGGTTCACTAAACTAGACCTGCACAGAGAAGAACCGGCAAGAAACTCTGCGGTCTTGTTCTTTTTGTTATATATATATTTTTTTAATGCAATTATACACACTTATTTGGGTATAAAATCAGCAGCAGCCAGGGGTCTTGCAAGTGCAGAGCAAGAGTCATTTCCAAACATCCTTGTCCTCTATGTATTCTTGGATATTATAATAAGCCCTTGCCATTAAGGTAGCTTTTACAAATTGTTTGAAATTGTTTATACTTAGTTGTTTGTGGATGTCACCTATTTTATTATAAAAGTTGATGCATCTTCCAAGAAACGACTTTCTGGTTTTAGCTAATCTAAACCTCGGTACTTCCAGAGTGTCACCACGGCCCCGACGCGATGTGGATTGTTTTTTCGTAAATAGGTCGATATTATTACGTACATACATGATGTTCTCAAGTATGTAAAGCGACGGGAGCGTCAAGACGTTTGTTTGCTTAAATGTTTGTCGTAGCGACTCACGTGGACCCAAGCCATAGACGGCCCGTATAGCCTGCTTTTGTAATACAAATATTGTGTCTAGACCGGATGCGGAACCCCAAAGTAAGACACCATAGGACATTATGCTGTGAAAATAAGCATAATAAACTAATTTTGCAGTTTCCTCATTAGTTAGCTGCCTGATTTTGCGTATGGCAAAGACGGCAGCGCTCAATTTCTTAGCTAACTTATCTACATGTAATCCCCATTGCAACTTGGAGTCAACGCTTATTCCAAGAAATGCTGTTGAATCCTCAAGGGGTAGGATTTTCTCATCAATAGAGATTCCTGATTGGTGACACAACTTTGAAAGAGTAAATCTAATACATTTTGTTTTATTGGAGTTCAAAAGTAAATTATTGGTAGCAAACCAGCCAGACACAACATCTAGTATTTCATTTGGTTGTTCCAGTGCATCATCTTTCCTTTTAACTTTAAACAATAGTGAAGTGTCATCCGCAAACAAAACAATTTGAGACCTTTTTTCCACTATATATGGCAAATCATTAATATAAACTAAAAACAGAAAAGGGCCCAGGATCGATCCTTGAGGAACGCCCATTTTTACTTTTGACCCCGTTGACAATATACCATTTATGATTACTTTTTTGTTCCCTGTCAGTAAGATATGAGGAAACAAAGTCAATGGCACAATTGCGAATACCATAATATTCCAATTTCCTGATTAGAATTGTATGATCTACACAGTCAAATGCCTTGGAAAGGTCACAGAACACACCAATGGTGTCATGAAAGCTTTCCCAGGACTGCAGGATATATGAAACTAATTCTATCCCTGCATCAGTTGTAGATCTACCTTTAGTAAATCCAAACTGGTGCTGGTTTAAAATTTTATATTTGTTAAAATGTACTATCATTTGATCCAGCATTATTTTCTCAAACACTTTGCTTAAGGCCGGCAACATAGAGATAGGACGGTAATTAGAGGCATCATCTCTCGAACCCGATTTATATACTGGCACAACTTTGCTATATTTCATTAACTTTGGGAATTTGCTACTGTCTAAATATGTATTAAATATTTGGGCTAATATGCAAGCAATGTCATAGATTATAAGATCAATTGCCCATATTGATAAGCCCCATAAGTCTTCTGTTTTCTTTTTATTTAGATTTTTAAATGTTTTAATAATATCATTCGGGCCTATATGACAAAATTTAAAATCTGGAACAGAAATATTAACATATTTATCGAGATATGTTACTGCCTCTGTGGGAGAGTGTTGCAAATGTCTAGTAGTTTCACAAGGTATATTTGTGAAGACATTAAGAAACTCATTTGCAACTTTATATTTTTTTTTATAACTTTGCCATTAACTTTTAATGTAAAATCTGCCTTTATTCCATTATTTTTGCCAGTTTCCTTATTTATTACATTCCATGTACTTTTAACTTTATTTGAAGACAATTTAATTTTATTACTCAAATAGTCTGCTTTAGCTAAAGTACAGACCCTTTTAAAATTTTTTGAATAATTCCTAACATATTCATGGAAGTTAGGATCAAAAGATAATGACTTAATACCATATAGATCATATAGTTTATCCCTGCTCTTTCTAATTCCCTTAGTTGCCCACTCACTAAAGCAAAGTTTATTGCCTAAAGTTATAGTTTTTTCTTTTCGGCATAATTTTATTAAATTCTGTAGTAATCATAGTAAACAAGGCATTGAAATTGTCATCGGGATCATTATTAGTTAATTTTAATAAGGGTAGCTTGTGTTTGACGCTATCTCTAAACTGTTTAATTCTGAATTTATTTATAAGCCTACACTCATTTATAATAACATTGTTTTTGTTATTAACATAGATGTCTATTTTAAGGGCTTTATGGTCAGATCTAACACCACTCAATATTTCTTGGTTTACAATTTTACAATTTACTACAATATTATCTATACAAGAGGCACAGGATGGGGTTACTCTTGTTGGTTCATCGAAGACACAGTAAAGATTAAAGATTAAATGTTTTAAGAAGTGACAGAAATCTCACTTTATCTGGAGAATCTGTCAGTAAATCAATGTTAAAATCACCGCAAATGACTATATGCTTTTTTATTTTAAATATTTTAATCAAGATGTCTTCAATGATTAATAAAAAATTTATAAGATCAGATGAGGGTGGTCTATAAATACACATTAATAAATATTCTTCTGTCTCTGCACATGCAATCTCACATAGTCGTTCAACAGAGTGTGCAACAATATCAGTTCTTTCTTTTAATTTCAAAGTATTTCTATGTAGGATGAGACACCCCCCTCCCATAGCAGATACTCTGTTAAATTTACTGGCTACTGAATAATTTTTTATACTAAATGACATATCATTGAGCCATGTCTCAGTAAAGCACAAGATATCTACATTATACTTATCAATTAGAAGTTCTACGTCAAGGATCTTGCCAGAGAAACGGTTTTATATTTTGATATAACAAGCTAACAGTTTTAACATCTGGTTTCTCTTTTGTCTGCCTTAAATTACTAAAAAAGTATGAGCTTCAGTATTAATAGACAGTCTATTTAATACTGGATTGTCATTATTACAATCGTAGGCCAATTTTGATGATTATTACGTCAATTGTTTACATTGTCTTAATCTTGCCAGTGTCGATAAGGACGTGACGGTAATCAAAATTCCGTATATCGACAACCACACACTGTGAAAAAGTTTTGCGAATAGAAAACCATCCTATTCAAAAAGCATACTTTTATGACTAATTCTTATTTTCAGCCAGTAAACTAAAGATGAAACCTTAAATGCATTAAGCAGGTTCGAATCCAGCAGTGAAAAAGGTTTTTGATCATTTATCGAAAAAAATAACATTTTAGGAATATTGGCGTATTATTTTTTTGTATTACGCAGAAGGGCAGATAGATAGAAGGATAGATAGTACAGATAGTAATTCAATATAATAGTTCAATATATAGTATATCTTAAGTTCAGACTTAAATTATCATAACACAGACTAATAAAATGCGAAAACACTGACAAAGTTTTTAAGATAAATTCGCTACGAAAATTTTTTGTACTACTTACTTTTCATAATTATATATTTAGCAGGACAAACAACATTCTTTCGAATTTAGCTAATGCACCGAATGCTATGTAGGTCGCTAATATCAATGCCATTTGGAATATGGAAAAGAAGAAATAAAATAAAAATGTCTTAGATAACTTTTTTCTTTATTATGCAACTTTTTCGAATCATACCTTTAGATGTTTATTTTCATTTCAATCCATGGACATGCTATCCTTGTTTAGTCATTCAATGAAGCTCTCAAAGTGCTGGCGTTGCCTCACGCGGGTCGTATCTGGCTCGTCTCCCTGGATCCTCGCCTCCACGTAGACCCGAACGAATCGGTTATATTTGGAGCTCTGTTTGATGTAGGGCTTGTTGGTTCCGCGCAGTTTGTGGAGAGGGAACCGAGTGAGGCAGTTGAGCATGCAGCTTTCGGCCACCTTGAAGCTGTGCAAAGGGTTTTGCATTAAATATTTTCTAAACCAACTTCATCCTCCTAACCTACCTTTATCCCACCACGGTGGGGACGGTACACCATCTGGAATATGTTGCTAGTGGCATTGACTAGGAATTTTCCCGCCTATTAATACGACCGGCCAGCCTATCTGTCGTGAACCCACCTTGGGAACTGACGTCCAGATTAGGTTATCTGTGGGTCACACAAATACTTGTCTCGTGAGGGAATTTAACTTACAACCCCCAATGCAAAAGCCAACAGTTTAGTAACTAAGCATTTCTTCTGATGGTAAGGAATGGATTCCTATGGACACATTATAATAGAGACGGATCCTTACTCTACTGGATCTAATTTTTTAAGTAAATATATGTCTATTTATTAGGCGGTTACCTGATCTTAGCCGTGATAGCTGTGTTAGATCCCCGGTGCTAGCACCAATGAAATTGTTAATTTTAAGTGCTGACTTATCACGTGCTTGGCGGTGAAGGAAAACATCGTGAGGAAACCTGCATATATTCGAAATAATAACAAAAGTATTCCGAAAATATGTGAAGTCCGCCAATCCGCAGTGGGGCCGCGTGGTGGACTATGCCCTGATACCCTCTGTACAAAGGAGGCCTTTGCCGAGCAGTGGGACATTTATAGGCTGTTACTACTTTACTTTACCTGATGTTGGCTGACTTAATAAAAATATTAATTTATGTTTGCAACATTTGTGATGTTGCAGATGAATTCTCCAACGTTTCATGAACGAACTTTAATAAAAAAAGTATAAATGGTTTTATTTTATGTTTACGTTATGAACTGATCGAATGGTTATCCGGAGCTGTTATTTAAGCTGTTTTTATTGTATCAAAGTTGGCGTGTAGCCGAAGTTTAGCGACAATGTATTGAACCTCCTAAAATAACTTGGGAAAGTATTTACGAGGATCTTATACAATTCAGTTAAACTATCGCTACTTTATTCACAAGCCATGATATTTCATTGCCGGGTAAGCTATTAATTCAATTTACTTGTGCAACCTGAGATCTATCCCCAAGGCCAGCACCAATGAAATTGTTAATTTTAAGTTCTGAATCATCACGTGCTCGCAGCGGTAAAGTAAAATATCGTACAAATTATATTAGAAATCCACCAATCCGTAGTGGGGTCTCATGGTAGACTCTCTCGTAGGTATCTTTTACCCTCTGAACATAGGAGGCCTTTGCCCAGCTGTGGGACATACATGCTGTTATTTTACTTACTTTTTTATATATATTATACATGGTAACATATACATTATACACGGTAACATATTCATTTCATGTTCAGTGTTGGAAAACCTTGTAGTCTTAGTTCAATCTTAATTATATCTAGTTGTCAATTTGCAACATGGCTAAGGTTAAAACGAACGTTTTGAATTTCAAACTGTGTCGTATACGCGTGATATGTTAAGCAAAGAGAGGTAATTGCGTCGTTAAACAGTGACAAAGCTTGTGTATTCACTTCGCACTACATTGACACGAGTATTGACCTCGATGTGATTATGATTATCGTTCAAATACTTAACACCTATTGTGCATGTGCCTTCTATTTTATATACTTTACTGTAGCTGTGCACATAAAAAATAGCTAACAATGAATTAGAGCTCTGAATAAAACAAACTTATTGTAAAATGTGATTTTTATAATATAGGTATATCGAAGATAGTAAAATGTAGTGGCCACATTTCCAGCTTATGAGCATCCAGAATATATGCTAAAGAGAAGTATTTAATAACACTAATTAAATTTAAGTTTGCTTAAATGATACTTTTTAACTCAATGATGGTAAGCGGTAAATGCTACATCTATGATCACCTACAATAAAAGCAGTATTGTAGGTTGTCAGCTACACCAGTCTTGAAACAAAGGCTTGCGTGGCAAAACATAAAAAAAATGTGACAAAAAGAAATAAAGACAAAAAGTACTTCTTAACATTTATGCGTCTATGATTCATAAGGTTAAAATTGTAAAAAAAATAATAACATTATTAAGATTTATATAGACTATTCTAAAAATGCACGAATATGTTAAATCGATAGTTCACAACGACAACGAATTAATGTATTGTGAATTGAAAACGTATTCACTTGTTATCAAGCTATGAATTGATTTCGTTGAGTATTGTACTTACTCGTATTGATTAATACAATCCATACGTATCACTTTGTATCCTTGATCGAATGCCTGCGCTATAGATTTCTCCGCGAGCATTACGGCCAGGCCTTGCCGTCGGTACTCTGGTATAACCGTGAGCATTTTGATCTTAAAGTAATAAAGTAGTTGGAAAAATAATACAAACTACATGTAAAAAGTTTCTACAAACTCAGAAAAAAAGTTTGAAGAATAATATAGCAGACTAAATCTAGGCTACGGACATTTTAATTCTTCTTTATGGTAATATGGTCGTCACTACTTTTATAATACCTTTCGTCTAAATAATGACCATGTATTCCGATATATAAACTTCAGTTAATTAACGATATAAAATTATACGTTTTCATCTAGATTCATGAGTAAGTGCAGGAAGTCACAATATTGTCTATTTGCCACCGAAAAATCAACTATGTCATCAATAATACTTCATCTTGGAAAGAAAAAATATTCAAAATTGTTAGCCAAGTTATTTCGTACTATTCATAGGCGAGACCAATTCGAGCGGGCACCGATAAAAGTTAGTTGCATTTTAAGCGCTGATCATTACTTGCTCAATGCTGAAGGAAGATACCGCGAGGAAATATTTTGAAAAATAAACATTTGTAAATATTTCGAAATTATGTGAAGTCTGCCAATCCCCAGTGGGGTCGCGTGGTGGACTATGCCCTCATATTCTTGCTCAACAGTGAGACATAATATATAAGGTTACTTTACTTTTATGTCAATTCGTCAATTGCGTATCGCAATTCCAAAAATTGATTTTAAACAACGTAGGTAGTATAAAATTACCTCGTATATTTTGGGTTCTTTAAACATGTCCCATAAATTCGGAGTCTCTTGTAACTTCGCAGTGAAATTCAAAAAGTCCTTTGTGTTTGGATCCTGACAGAGTAATAAGGAGACTTTAGATTTAACAGTTTTAACGTACATAATATATGTTGTTAATCAGTTTAACGTACATAATATATATTGTTAATTCTACTGAAGAAATTTATAACTCTGCCTAAATTTTTAACTTTGTCAATCGCGTGAATTATATTGCTTGCTGGAATATGAAAAACTCTACCTGTCGATGAAAAGCATAGTTCCGAAGTTTTCTGGGATCGACAGGGCTGCTAGCGTAACTAACACAGATACCAGCCACTCGATCATCTTCCGTCTTAGCGAATAAGGAATTACCTACAAACAAACCGTTACAAAACGTAAAAGGGTTGACGTGAATCAAAATAAGTAATATGTATATTTTATGAACATGTTTTCGCATTTATTTTGATAGTACACAACAGCAAATCAAGATATAAGGGGGACATTTGCAAAATAATCAGCCTAGCAAAGAAAACAATTCGATTTAAAAATATTTTCATATTCAATTATTTATAAGTACTTTATATTACTTGCTTTCAAAGTTATGTTCAAATTTAAAGAATTAGATCATCTTAAATATTGTATTTGATATCTGTAAAATATTTAGTTTCTTAAGAAGCAAAATCCAAAGAAATTAAAAAAAAACACGATTTAATTTTTTACGCGCATTTTTGAAAATCTACAAAAAGTGCCATCTAGTTTCAATAATAAGTACCATTTCAAGTTATTTATCTCTCTTCACAAATGTATAAAAATGTAGATGTCACTACTTTACGGAAAATGAGAAAAAAACTATTATTCTCGTTTTCCGCACAGAATGTATATGAACTAAACTATTTGTTATAGATGTTGCTCTTAGGTATCAAGACGTCAAGTACCTTGACGAAGCAAGTTAACGAGGTATTCGTCAATGCTGCGGTCATCGTTTAGATTCATCCTGCGGTCCCGTACTAGTACGTGTTCAACAAGATAATGTTTCTTGATTATCTCTACCGCTGTTTCATGCTCAGCGCTCGTCACCGCAGATATAGCAAAATGTTCTTCTGGCTAATGAAAAACAGTTTTTGAATATATCATTACAAATAAATAATTTTTAAGCAAAAAGTTTGCAATAAAATTTTCCATTAGCGCTGGGTGTTTTTCGACTTTTTTTGGGTAAAGAAAAATCACTCATGAAATAATCATCTAATTACACCAATAAAATAAAAATTTGCAATAATGCCGCGTGGATTAGGTTTATTAGATAATATCTTATCCTTTAAACGAACAATTCTTGTATATATATATATATATATATATATATATATATAATCGGAATCTCGAAAACGGCTCCAGCGATTTTCATGAAATTTAGTATGTGCGTAGATTCGGGAGCGAAAAATCGATCTCGCTAAGTTTCATTTTTAGAAAATGTCCTTTTATCCCTGTTTTCAGGGAATGAAAAATATAATTCGAATATGACAGTAAATTTCGCCGCAAGACAAAATGTCATAATAGCTAGGTCGGTAATCGGGCGGCCCCAAAACAGACGGCCGTGGTTCGCGTCACGATCATTTACACATTTATTTTTTTACTTTTTTTTTCGATTCCAGTTCATTGCTTTCTTTATTTTTAATTTTTCATCGATTTGTTATTTTGTTATTTTTTTCCCTTTTTTTTAAAGTTCTTTCTTTTGTGAAAAATATCAGTTCATATTTTCTTATTATGACGTCGGTAAGATCGAAAAATATTATGCATATTTCATTACTCAGTAATTTGTATCGAAATGTAATTTCCAAAATACACGATTAACCAAAAAAAAAAAAACAAACCGAGCAAAGCTCGGTCCTCCGGGTACTGTAATTTAAGATAGATTTAATCTTGTAAATATTATATCAATAAACATAATGGGAAATAAAATTACATCAATTGGAGTAATTAAAATGCCTCAGTTTTGGTCGCAATACTAAACAACAATACCGGATAGTAATATAAAATAGTAAGGGAACAGTTTAAGAAGAAATATACCTTCTCTTGGCGAATTAGATCTTGTATACCAAAAACGCTATGGCATTTTCTATTTTGAATAGCCCTAGTGCTACGTATAAATGGAAACATAAATTTTGTTACCGAATTGAAGATCATTTTTTAGGTTTAACTTTCTGCTAAGTAATTTATCTCAAAAGTGACATGACATCCGTCACTATTTTTATGTTTCAACAAGGCATACAGTATTATGACAATAGAAAATATGCTAGAAACTATTTTTGCTTAATCAATATTTAAACTGACTACTAATACAAAAATCAAGTTGAATCTGGATGCACCAATGAATAGTCGAATTTCTGACATATTACCTATAAGGTAACATATGATGCTGATATTTTAGACTATTTTCGTGAAAAACAGTAGAATAGATACCGTGGTCTCATAGAGGACCATCAGATTTTATAGTTATTTTCTAGTTTTATAGTTAATGAGGTAAATTGGAGCCAATTCAATCGTGTTTCCAGCCACTAAGAGTGGCCCCTAGGTTACAAAATTACAAATGAAGCTATGACAAGAGTGATCTAAGTGACATTTTTACCAATAATGACTTTGTTACATAATGGCGTAGAAAAATCATAATTCTTTCATGCCACACTGATCCTAATGGGTAGCACGCCCTGAACTATTTTCTTAGAGAGATCACAACATCTAACTATACAATTGGTGCAGTTTAAAAAGTGGAAGCATGCTAGACTGATTAAGTAATTGGATATTAACGCCAGGTTTCTGAAACACTGATCATCGTAGAAGTCAACAAATCAGCTGTCAAATGGATTTTCAAATGTTATTTAAAATGCCAAAAGGATTGTTAAACTCTTTGTATTGACCAGAATGACCTTCTCAATGATCAGAATGATCAATTCAAAGAGTTTAACAATCCTTTTGGCACCCAAATAACATTTGACAATCCATTTGACAGCTGGTTAGTTGACTTCTACGGTGATCATTGTTTCAGAAACCGGGCGTAAATGAGGCGCACTTAGATCACCGTGGTCGCAAGTGTACCAAATACTTTTAACGCAGATTGGTCGTCTGTAAGACCATGGTACTTCCAGTCAAACTGACTTATTCGTGTAGCAGGTGTTTACGTACATATAAGCTGTTGTTATCATGATTAAATTTTCAGTTATTAATGGATGGTAAGACCATAGTTTTAGTTATTATATCTCGTGCAGAAATCGCAGAAAAGCGTCCATTAAGGTCATTGTTAACTGCGTTTCTATAGCTCATTTTCCCTGGCCTAGAGGTTTTATATAACGTTCTAACACAATAAGTATCTTAACAATATAAGCACAATATCACAACGTACTCGTATGTCAACTGGCGAACGTCAGCCTTTTATTGCAAAGAGTTTCATGTAATACGTTTTACGGCGACATAAAGTTTTTATGTTACTAGTGTAGCGCACGTTTCAATCAGCAGTTACGTAACCCCTTTGTTAGCTGCTAGGGTGTTAATTCAACATGTGCTAGAGCAACCGTGAAAATAATATGCAGCTGTTATTTACCATAACTACGGTATATTGTAAGTACAATGGCTAATATAACTGCTCTCGATGTCCTTATGTAATCGATTACACTAAATCAAAAGCTTACGGTTCTTCGAAAGAACCGGAAATCATTCCAATCCCTTGGGGATTTCGCAACGCATTAGACTATTAAAGCTCCATCGAACGTAGAGTTAGTGAATTAGCTAGAACCGATAAAGCTATCAAATCAAGCGGTCGGCCCACGCTCAGTATAGTCGCCCATGTGCTCATATATATATGCTAAGCCTATAGGCTGTTGCTTTATCTTTTACTTTTATACAAATTAAAAGTAATGCTGCTACATTTGACATAAAAGTAACAGCCTATACATGTCCCACTGCTGGGCAAAGGCCTCCTCTATACAAGGGTATCAGGGCATAGTCCACCACGCGGCCCCACTGCGGATTGGCGGACTTCACATATCTTCGAAATATATATTTTTTTGTTATTATTTCGAAAATATACAGGTTTCCTCACGATGTTTTCCTTCACCGCGGAGCACGTGATAAGTCAGCACTTAAAGTTAAAAACTTCATTGGTGCCGGCACCGGGGATCGAACTCAGGTTGCTCGAGTATATTGAATTAAAGGCGAGCGCCCAGACACTGAGCTATCACGGCTACATTTGACATACTTTTACAATGTTAGATATTTCTATTATATAACACGCTTGACCCTCTTTTCATACCAACTGATTCAGACTTGCGTGAAAGATTTACTAGGGTTGAAATATGACAGATTTTTTACCTGAATTTGGCCTTAATTGAAATTACTTATTATAGTCAACTTTGACTCCAAACTATATGAAATTATAGTATCGATATAAAGTGTTTTCTTTTTTTTACAATGAGTTGAGGTGAGCAATTTGAAATTATATGCATTTATGCACAGCTCTGATATACCAAATATATATTTTATTACTTACATAAGGCTCATATCTTTTAAATTTGAGAAAGCTAAACAAAACTTCAACGTTGTTTCTCTTGGTATATTTTGTTATGTTTTAACAATGTTCTGTTTCACTCGCTAGTACGAACATTAGAACAAATTTTAATGCTCAAGTTTATTTGACAATACAGCAAATTCTATAAAAAATTTATATTTGTGTTTAAATGTCAATAAATAATTTCCAGGCTCGTTACTCACAACGTATAATTGTTTCGGGATTAATCTGATCGACGTGAAGCAAGACATAAATGCATCAGAAGAAACGACTGAAAAATTCACGACGTGCAGCGCTACAGAAAGTACTGACACAACTTCTAGAGTTTATCCGCCGATAAGAACAACTGTGAAGAACCAAAAGAGGAGATTCATGATAGTAACACCCATTCGACCAGTCTTTCGTCAAGCGGAAAGGTTCGAGGATGAAAAGGACAAGAATCTGAAGAATAAAATATCAATGCTCGTCCAGCAATCGATACACGACGCGAAACTCAAGATGAAAACTGTCGATAATTTGAAGGAGAAGTACAAAGACGATCCCTCATATCGAGTCGGATTCATTTTTAGCAACTTAAAGAAGTCCAAAGATATCATGAGTGAATTGTTCAATGTGGCCGTCAAACATCGCCATGATTGGAAGGCGCTGGAGCAGATGAAAATTTTCGAGTTGATAGTTCACACGAACGTAGATACCACCAACTTGGTCAGGCAGCTGGTTGAGATTCATCTGCAAAACCTGAACTCAACCGATCCAGTGGCTTTTAGGAAGAGAGTAGTATTGCTTTGAAATCATTCAAAGATTTACTTTTATTCAAAGATACAGCTTTGTACGACGTTGGACGCGCACAATTGTGGACTTCAACTGACTACAACTAGTGTCGTTTATATGCTTTTTAAAACCGAAAGTCTTCTGCATGCAACGCGAATTGGGTATGTAAGGTAGATTTTTCAAGAGGTGCCTTAATATGCATATATTTACGATTACGGTTTCTACGTATACAGACGTACAAAATAGTAAACTTTAAAACATAATTTTTTGACTTTTATTTCATATTTTTTTTAAAAGAAGATATCCTCATAATTATTTAACTAAAGTATATTAAAAATATCTCCTATTAAACGTGTATTAGCTGAAAAGCTCTGGTGGGACCACCGTCCCGTTTACGTGAGATTTCTATTACTTAACTGTAATTAAAATATTTTGATATGTTAATGTTTTTTACTTCAAGCCACTAAACACACGTTAAGATTGAAGTTTTTGCGGCAGAGGTCCTTAAGGTCTTTATCATTACAAAACAAAGCAGGCATTCACCGTATAAACGTTGCATTTAATATTCAACATACAAAATGTATAAGTACATAATTATAAAAAATAGTAGCATTTGATCTACACAATAAGCAAACTTTAAAAAAATATTCAAGTGTTACATAGAAGTGTTACATAATTAAAGTCGATCAAACAAAAAACAAAAATCTTCTAGGCAAATAATTAGAAACAGTTTAAAATTCGCAAACAAAAAAGAAACTGAGTAGTATTATTTGAAACTGGTCATTTGATGATTTACATAAAATTGGTTAAAACATAAAAATTTCAGGTCAATTTACCTGAATAACATTTATGAAACATTTTCTAAGTTTCAAAGTGTAAGAAATTTTAATCAATCTGTGTTTTAATAAATTTGTATATAAGTACTTTATATGTCAATCAGAATACGTTATATTAAAACGAACAATAACATCCAATGTATATATACATCGCAGCACCAACGCGTTCAAAACTATTTTCCTTTCAGGTAAGCCTCACACGTATTTTTCATTAAGAGGTTACACGATGTTTTCAGCGGAAAATAATCACTCTTTGTTCCGAGATGTATGCCGTTTTGTGTTGTATATCCAAACTGGCATCAGCCGCACGTTGTCTACCATCTTAAATAATGCAGAGGCGTCATCTTTTCCAGTCGGTAATTATTTCTCCCCGCCATCACCTGTGCGATGAGGTCGGATAGTGCATTAGTTGATGACGTCATTTTTCACTCCGACTTAGGTTTTTCACCTGTATTTTTTTTAAAGCTTTCTTTGAAAAAACAGCTTGATTTGTACATATTACCGTGTTGTTAAGAATGATGTACAATACAAAACTAGAGATTATTTAACACAAAAATTGCTTTTCATTAAAAATATAGAAATATCAGAACTTTTCATTTACATAATTTTTATGTCATCCCTGTATATACAGGTCCCTGTCAATACCGTCTCTTAACCTTTAATATATATTTTTTTAAATTTAATATATCATAGAGTCGCTTGTGTGTGCATTAATTTTTATTAATTCGTCGGACATCTTATTAATAAAAGAGACTTATTAGTATATATTAACGTACATCAATTATCGACACTATCTATTTCATTACATAAAATTACTCCCTTTTGTTAAGTAAAAGAACTGAACTAAATTTTTCAAATAGGAAAATAAATGGATTAAAATAATATTTCTGAAGCCCGTAATTTAATCATTGAATTGATCGTATTATATTAATTAATTATTAAATTTGAACGAAATTCTAGAAATTATATTAACATGTTAGTCACAATGAAAAACTACTCATACTAATAACAATACACGTATCTACATAAATGAACGCCAATATAACTCCCTCCCAATTTGTATAACAACCGTCCGTCCAAAGGCTTTGCATTCCATAAAACAAAAGAGCATAACAATGGAAATATGGAAACTTTTTTGGCTTAATAAACAATGCAGTGTAGGTGAACGTGAAATAGACGTATTTTGGGCGTAGGGATGCCCGTACAATAGTTCGTTTCTATTTTAATTTTCCAGACGAACACACCCAGGCTGTGGGGATTGGTTATTATTCGTTAGCCAATATTTTTTCCAATTTCAACACTTCGTACTTTTGGATTCTTGCGCGTGTGTTGCGTTCCGATCCTCTACGCGTAATTGTTTGCACGTAGGGATGGGTTTCTTGGCACGGTTGTTTCAAAGTATGATTGAAACAACGTTTTGTACGTTGCAAATCGAGCTGTTCTATCGCAAAATTCATGTATTTCTGTACTTAAAATATTGTTTTTTTAAAATGTTTTAATGAATTTGAACAGAGAGAAATGCGCATATCAAAAGCATTGATGCCCTGTAAAGAACCAAATAAAGGATTGATGACATAATTGCGTTCGTTCAGCTGAAGTTTAACTGAAATAAACTAATAAGCTTCAATGTGAATACTTTTCAATGAATTGAATAATAAAATTTTTTTTTAGTCATTTTTAAATGCTTTAAATATTTTCCATGCTTTAGTCAGCCCTGCAATTGTCTCACTGGCGTGGACGGCGTATGCTAAATTGAACATTATTTTAGTAGCCAATATGAACAGGCCGCACGTTGTAACGGACAGGACATGAGCACAGTTTTGAATATATGCGAAACGGTGTAAAAAATTTGTAGCAGTATATTTAAAAAAAAAACAAATATACGAATTTTTTTTCAAATATTCATATAGTTTTTGAGATACCTTATAAAGACGTAAGAATATAGAGGCTGTTGGAACAGTGTAATTTTTAAAGAAATATTTCTATATGTATAATATAACACTCTAAGTTTAAATCATTAAGATAACTGTAAAATTATGATACTCAGATGGTATAAATGAAATTTGATCAGATTAAAAGTGCGTAAAGCAATGCCTTTTTCGCATTTGTAACACATTTATACGCACAATAATTTTTAATGGAAAACTTTGACTAGTTAATTGAATATTAAGTCCGTTTGCAAAGAAGTTTAATTGTCTTACACTTATTAATGTTTTACTTATTTGCATCGTTGTTTGGAATATGTAGAGTAGAACGTGAAATGTACATTAAAATAAACGATCGTATGCATACTCTATTGCAGTCCGTCCCAGTGGACATGATGCATTTCGGAGTGCATCATTCGGACAGTACGGGCCGTCTTGTGCTACCGCCTAAATACGAAATACTGTGCTTCCGACGATTTGATACTTGGAAAACTTTTGCTTTTGTTTAATACAGAGTTGTTATATAAGGGTTCAACCAATTTTGTTTCTCATGTATTCAACTGGATTAATTTATAATTGTCTAGCTCAACCCGACCACGCTTCCCGGTTGCTTTTTTTTCGTTTCCGTTGGAATTTGGAATAAATACACTCCTTGCTTCAACAGCTTTGTTATGAACAAATATCGAGTCAAACCATCGGCTAGTTTTTGAGTTTTGTTGATACAAACATACGGAAACTAATGTTTTTATTTATAAAGACTAGCGGACCCAACATACATTGTCCTGATAACGACTGAAATTCGAATAAAACTTATAAATAAAAAAAAAATAGTAGACCTAATTGTAAATCTAAACCATTCTCGAATCGACCCGAAGACCCACAAAAAATTTCATCAAAATCGATCCACCCGTTTAGGAGCAGTGACATACACACGTACAGAAGAATTATATATATATATATATATATATATATAAAGATATTACAAGAATCGTGTATGGATCACGGTTTGAGATAATTTTGAATATCTCAGATGTTCACCAGATTCTGTTAGTCGATTAGTAACCGTTAGAGCTTAAAAGTGAGCAGTTAATTAAGTTAGTTTTAAGTCTTAAAATCTCAATAATTAAAATATTAATCATAAAAACGATTATTTATAAGGTCTTTCCGAGGAAGAACCACTTCCACTTCACGCCGGCCTCACAGAAGACCGGTATGAAGTGGAAGAATACATCATAGTTTCGCGTTCCGTCTTTACTCACGACTACCACCAAAACTTTTGAAGTAACCGGGGAGAATTTTTTATATATGTTGGTAATGCATTTGCATCAGGTTTTAAGATATGGACATCTTCTGGGTGGTGATAATCACTTAACATCAGGTGAAACGACTGCCCACTTACCAACTTTTCGCAAAAAGATAAAATTTAAAACGTTTTCTAATTATATAGCGAAAATATTTAATTATATTGATCTGTCCTTAAAGATTTTTAATTATTAAATATAATAGTATAAATGCTTGCTTAAAATTTATTCAATTATATTAATATGAGCCATAGAATAAAAAAAAGTATAATTTTCAAAAATTGGATTTTGAATGTTTTTTTGATCAATAAATGAAACTGAAAAAAAAATGGCCCGTGCTTGATTATCATCCTGCCTGATGAGCAGAGCCTTAGTCACAATTGGGTATTAAATAAAGTACCAGTTTTAAAAATGGGTGCAAGTCGGTAAAATTTTATGACGGAATGTATCAAAACTAGTAGGCCGCTATCGAGCATCCGGTCGGCGACTTGGTCAGTTTCTTTCATCCGAAGCAGAATTCACAGCTAATTGTGGCATTAAACAATAGAACCTCTTAGCAATACAAGTAACGCGCCCGCCATTGTTCACTTGTACGGGCACAGAATGAACATTCGGACAATGAAGCCTCAACAAGAAATTGTTTTTGGTACAATGCAACTATTTCGAATGTAACAGTCGTGAAAATTAAAATGAAGGAAGAGTCTAGGTGGTGAGTAGATAGTTTGGTGTGTACCGCATTTTTAGACAACACATGCATATTCTCTCGACATTCGCATACACACTAAGTGGAGTGACAATTCTTTGGCTTGTGTAGAACTAAAAGGTTTGTAATTATAATAAATATTTTTCTATTGTTGCTATATACTTACTTACTATACTTCTATTGTTGCTATTGTATATTAGTCTATAGCAACCTTAAAATTTTGTGAGATAGTGCTATAGCTATGACATGT